AAGCGTCCATTGGCCGAGAGGTCACCTCAACTGGTTGGCGCTGGCAACCGCATGTGGCCGCATTTAATGCGGCTGTTGGATGGGACATTGTACAGGGTACGGTGATCTGTACGTATGTGACGCGGATATCATGTCGGGAAAGGTGACCTCGGCTGTAGAGGACTAGCCGAGGGCTCTGAGTACCGGGGACCCCATTGGTGCCGAGGGCTCCAGGTGCCGAGGGCTAGTGATTTTCGCCGTTTTTCCCAGTAACTTTTAGTTTGCTTGAGAAACCCGTTCTGTGAGAGTTTAGAGCCTTCGGCCAGGGGGCCGAAGGCACCCCTGGTGCGCATTGTGGGCTGCTTGGTACTCTGGGCGCCGTGATTTGGGCCTTTTGGGCCTTCTGGGCTTGTTGGGCCTTGTTTGGAGTAGTAGGAGTCTGTGGGCCGGGAGTTCCCGGGCCATATACTCCATCAACTAATGATCGAGCACTTCATGCCACATGAATTTTGAGTTGTCAGCGGGTAGAGAGATTTATGTAATTCAAAATTTATCCAGGCCAGGTCATTGCATGTACTCGTTTCAGGAAACATGATTTAATCAAAAATAAATGAGCATAAAAAATTAATTACGTTCCTTACCTATGAGGCTATATATGATCATTTATGTACGAATGGACAAAAGAAAGAATTGAAACAACAAATGTTTAACTGATTCAAGTCTTCTCCGACGAATGAAAATCCAAAAACATAAATGTTAATCAGCCGATAGTTATATGTAGAACTACTCTGTATTATATTTTGTTACTGAGTATTACCTAAGCTTTAAAAAAACTTTGAGTTACGTTGCATTTTGTAAGAGAATTAATTAGTCAGTTGTGGACTCCAAATAGGATCTTAAGTTTCCGAATATACTTAGACTAGTTGGAGTGGTAAGGTATTAGGAATCCAAAATGTTAAAGATTGCAGTTTTGAACTCCTAATTTCATGCATCGGTGTATTAAAGGGGTAGTAAAAATGGGTAAAGGGGTGGACGGGTTTATATTTGGAGGAGGTATAGAAGGCCAAAAAAAGGGAAAAAAAAGGACCCGCACGGGTAGCTCAATTTTAATTGTTAGAGTTTTTTGAGTTCAAAATAACACGAAACACAAATATTTAATTCATGAATCATTCACAAAGAATTTAATATTCTACGATCAAACTTTATTTGAACTAAGTTCATTTTCTGTTAACCGAAAAATGTTAACCAAAATTAATGAAATTTATTTATTTTTACATCGAAATATGTATTTTTTATTTCGTAATTATTCAGTGTTAAAAACTAAAAGGAAAACATTACTTATAATAATTTAATTAATGCTTTACTAAATTGATATATATAAAAATAGCAGAGTGTATTTTATTGATGGTGCTGCAATACAGGAAAATAGGAGTCAAAACATTGTTTTCATATGGACGGAGTCCATTTTTGACATTTTGGACTCCACACCACTCCAAATTGTCTTAAATACGATCTTGACTTTTTTAACTCCTAAATAGGACCTAATTTTAAGATGTTTCCAAAAATGCCCCTAATATCTCATCCTCTGTCAAGCGGCCCCTTTCCCTTATCGGCTTATCATCCCTCTTCGTGACAAACTCAGTCACATACTCCCCTCTGTCGATTAGTATATGGAGCTCCTCGGCGAGCTTCATTGTGGCGAATCGGATCCAATTGCTGACGGTGATCACGTGATTGCTCCGGCAGGTCCAGTGACTATTGTCACGACTCTCCCAGAATAAGTCTGTGACACTATTCATCGCCATGGAAAATTTCTCGATTTTGGGGGAACAATTGAACATCAAAGCAGTGGCTACAAAATCTATGAAATAGAAAGATCTTTCGAAGTTATCGTTGTAATGGAAGATTAGGGACTTGGTAGAGAACCAGAGGAAGCGCCAGCGCTTGGAGAGAACAGCTGTCGCGATGAATTGTTTTGTACGCAGCAAGGATACGAGCCGATGACGAAGGACGGCGAAGACTAGGTGCAAGGCGCCGAGGGGGAAGACATCTCTTCTTCTCCTCTCTTCTTTTTTCTTGGCTGCGCACATCGGCTATTTTTTCTAGAATTGATTGGTTGCTTTCCATGTCACTTGTGCACCCATGCTCCTACTTGGACCTCCATATTCTAGCATTAAATGCAGCATGCCACTTGTATGAATCCCCGATCGGCATTGGGACCCATTGAGCTATCATTTCAGAAGTACAATGGTTAATCCAAGTGTGAATTACGTCTCGTTCAAGATGTGCCGAACGGGTGTCTTCTTTAGGTGCCCAAATCTCATTCGGAACCTTCTCGCTCCACCTTGGGCTTCGCTTCACTCTTGAGCCATAGGGATATTTTGGGCCGGTATATTGGGCCGGACCCGAATGTCCCAACAGCACATTTGGTAAAGTTTATGTGGCTTTAAATCATTTTTAATTTATTCTTTATCAATTAAATATCAACTACATAAACTCACTTTTTTAAATAACTGTGTCACTTCCTGATGTCTCAATGTTAGTGAAACAGAGGTAGAATTATATATATATATATATATATATATATATATATATATATATATATATATATATATATATATATATATCACGCTTACATATACGGAGTAAGGCGTATATATTTGAATTATTATTACATAATACTCCTTCCGTTCTTCATTAACTTTCACATATACCTTTTTGAGATGTTTTTTACGAAGTACTACGCATTACTTATCTCTCTTTCATTTTTTAGTAACATTTTTCTATCAAAATACATTTATACCCGCATTCTAATTACTCTTACGTTTTTTACTTTTTACAAACTACTTTTTCATTACTTTCTTTTTCTTAATATGCTCATTTTCTTACTTTTTCATTTACCTTTTACATTCTATATTACTCATACTACTTTTATGGAGTATTGGAGGAGGCGCAACAACATGGTGTTGATTGAGCAACGGTGGGAGACGGCCATGGTGATGAACGTCACTGCTGGTATGCTTTCGAGCTGTTGGGAGAAACAATTGAGTAGTCCAGTAACGAAGGAGATGCCCACCAGTACCCTGACAATTTGGCAAAGGTCCAGAGCAGGGAATATTAAAATAAATGTTGACGCGGCTGTCCATCAGGCGGGAGAGATTCGGGCAAGAGGATGGCTTGCACGGGATGATCAAGGGGAATTTATTAAAGCACATGGAGTCTCCAAAAGGGCAGGGTGGTCTGTTGCGGAAACTGAGGATTTAGGAGTTAGAGATGCTATTTTATGTGTTGCACATGAAGGTCGGACTAATGTTGAGATCGAGACAGATGCTCTTACAGCTGTTCAAGGCTCTTCTTATTTTCATCTCATTATTGATGATATTCGAAAGATTATGAAAACAAAGAGTAATTTTACTATTTCTTTTTGTAAGCGATTTGTGAATCGTGCTGCTCATGTTTTGGTCCGACCACATGAGTTTATCTCATACTCCGTGTCAGACAATTAGTTAAATTTTCTACCTGTTTGTATTGACAGCCAAGTGTCGAACGATATGCTGATTTAATATAATTATTGGGTTTTACGATAAAAAAGTTTTTAAGAACGAAAAACATAGAAACTCTACCGATCTGTTATTATATAAAAGTCAAATTTACTTGTTCTTAATTTTCGCTTCTTTACGTCAAAACTTTGACTTTATCAAATATATATTACTCTCAATCTTTAGTTTCATTTATGTTTGCTTTGAAAATTATTTTTGATTTTGGTTGATTACAACTTTGTTTTGATAGGACTTATGTTAGATTGTCAAATTTGATTTATTTTTGCGAAAGAAGAAACAATATTATTGATAGAATAACTCAGAATTACAATCAGTTTTGAGCAAAAGAGAAATTTGAGTTGGCTCATCGAGAACCAAAATCCCCCCGGCTGAAACCTTCGCTAATTCATGCACAACCAAGTTCCCCTCCCTTTACACAAAGTTGAATCGGGCCTCTGGGAAAGAAAGAGTCATCTCCTTCACTTCGTGCAGTAGCAAACCAAGTCTGGATACATCCCTCATAGGACTGGACAGGTTGGAGAAGTTTGTTACACATTTCCCTTCAATAATTAATGGCATGTTTATCCAAGTCTTGACAATTCAAACATCTTCCGCGCTAGGGGTGGATTGGGCCACCCGGCCCGGTGGATTCTCGGTTCGGGCCCTTCAAAAGGTGAACCGGCCCGGCCGGTTCGGGCCCGGGCCGGGCCAATTTTAATTTTTTTTTGATTTTTTTTTGAGTTTTTGGGTTGGGCTAGGTATTTTGGGTCATTTGAGGTGGTTAGGGTTGGTTTGGGGGGAGGGGGAGGGGTGGGGGTTAACTAGGAAAAGCCCCCCAAAAAAAAAATACCTGAGGCCCGGCCCGGCCCGGCCCGAACCGGGCCTGAACCGGTCCATGCCTAAATGAGAGCTTCTAATCTCTCATTAAGTTTATTTTGTAACTTTTGTTTATAATCTTATCTATTTTGAAGTTTAACACTTAGAATTAATAGTTGATTGATTATATTCTTGAGTATTTATTAGGTGATCATCATCTGAAATATTGTTTGCTATTTATATTTTTTTTAAAATAAATTTCACTTATAAACAAGCGCTACTATATACTCCTGCCGTTCTGCGTGAAACCCATCCCAACCAATTTTATCAGGCCTTGTTCGGGTCTTGAGTTTTCATATCCCCATTTATGACGGATAGTTTATTTAATTAGCTAAATCCCGATCCAAACCGGACAAATCCCACATCAATGATTTGACTTAAAAAAAGTTCAAAATGAGATCGTAACTGTATTTTGGGTACAAGTCCTCGATAACTATTTTGGAAATTCTAATTTCTAGTCCCAATGTAAGAGTGACCATCATATATTGACTCGTTGGGCACTGAGAACCGACCGGTCCAATGTTGAAACTAGCTCGTGTCCACGGCTAGATTCTACAACTTCATATCCGAGGGAGACTCATCAGTACAATAATAAGTTCAAATGAACGGAGTAAAGAAATAACTTATTTTCATATATAGAGAAGTCTTTAATCTTTATCAGGAGTGTCTGGATAACTGTTTGGACCTAACATCTAACAGCGGTATGGAACTTGCCATCAGGGTAAAAACACAAAAAAAAATCATATACACCCGAACAGTTAAACCAAAGCGCACGCACATACTCTTGATGACGAAAAAGCACAACATAAAGGACTTACTCGTACTAAAATTAGACAAGTCTCACGACCAGTTCATATCCAAGAAAATAAATGTTCACCATCATCCCTGCTGACCTGCACTTCAAACAAAAGGCCACCACCCATGGCGCCACTGTCTATTTTGTCTTCAATTCCCAGAATCTGAGGCCAAGTTGCTCTACATTAAGGGGACTATCCTTAATTATATATATATAACTCTTCAGGTTATCCGATTGTATGTCTGTTCACGTTTTATTACTGTGATGATGATGAGCTGGTGTTAGGACAGATGCCAAAGTCCTAATATTTTCCTTTAGTGGAGAAGAATCTGCTGAAGCCACGTGAGTTCTTTTCTGGAGTTTGTGCATGAGGGGGATAAGGTAAGGTGGATTTAGTGGACCGATGTTTTGAGTTGAGGGGGGATCTTAACGGGTGACTTGACTCTGAGTCCGACGGACTATACGGGGCATCGTATAGCTCCACGTGGGATGACTCGTGAGCACTCAACTTCTGACTGGAAGCCGTGTCCATCTTAGTAGTCGTCGGGTCAGTGTGATGCAAGCCTGACCCCCCACCGCTTATAGTTGGTTCTTCTTCTTCTTCACTTACCCTACTGTCCCCTTTCTGAGGCTGGGGGGAACCTATGAACTCCGCCGGTTCCAGAAGGGCCTGAGCAGGACGCAATCCCTTTAACTGCTTTCCCAGAAGAAATATTGTTTCTTGGCATTCCGCTAGTTTTTCTGCTGCTGCTGCCAAGTCCTTCTCCTAGAATTAAAATTAAGAAACGTGTAGATGTGTCATTTTGTGAAACAATCCATCCAAGGGTAAACTCATCGCATCCTTCCATTTCAAACTCAAAAAAATTAAATCTATCTGAAATCATTTGAAATTTTCACATTCATTAATGATTTGCCATTAAGTTGATTATCATACAATATGCATTGTTCATCTTGATATATCAACACATGAACTTAAGTTTAAAGACAAATAGACAAAGGATTAAAAGGGTCATGAATGGACTAAACGAAACATTTTGATGAAAATATATAGATTTGATGCACTAAACCCTCGTGATATAAACTTTGCGTGTTAACCCCTCATTATTTAAAAAATGTGTAAAACCCCCACGTGTTATAAGACTTTAATATGTCAAGTTTTTAAACTATAAAAAGATACTAAACCTTTTGATTTATTTGATAGTTAGATTTGTTCTTTCAGGGTGTTGTATGCATAATATTAATAACACAAGGAGTTTGACGCATTTAAACCCCTTGTTTTATATATCATGAAGGGATTTGGTGCATTAAACCCGAAAATTTATTCATTGTAATTTGAATAGAAAAGTTTATCTAATCCATCCTTACTACCCTTAGTTTGGAGTGTGCCATAAGGAAGCAATTAGATGTACCACAAAACAGAATACTCCAATAACGAGTTATATATAGATGATTAACAAGGTAAAGTCAAATAAGTGACTGAGAAATTGTTATGTTTGGTTTCTACTTTTAGAAAAATGTGTTGTACTCCGTATATATTAGTGATACAGAGCAGTAACTGTGAGAACCATAGATATCATAACAGAGGCTATGTTAGGAGGCTCACTTGTGTTGTCTTCGCATCAATCTCAGCTTTTAAGCTTTCAATCCTGATTCAACCACCATATAAGCGTAAATGAGAATATCATAAATATCCTAATAGGCTAATATATCACACAGATGAAGATAATAAGATTATCTAGGATTAAATTCATTGCAAAATAGAGGTAGAGTTTATTCTAAAACTAGAGGTGAAGGATAGAAAGGTATATAACAATAGTAATTACAATAATGTTAATATGCTGTAATGCTGTAAAGGAAAAAAAATATTAAATGTCTAGGATTATAATGGCCATAACTTTAAAAATGCCAAAGAGGAAATAAAGACTAAAATTATTAGACACTCACCTTTCCAGTTGCTCTTGAAAATCCTTGCATTTAGCTAGAGCATCGTGATGACCCTTCTTTTCTTCTTCAAGTTCAACCTCCAGAGTATCAATTTTCGCCTGGAGAGCATTAACTTCTGTTTGTAACTTCTCCGCACGTGTTTCCAGCGACTTATATGACTCTGCCATACATTTAAGCTGTGTCTCTGCCAAACCATTCGATCTCTGAGCAGATACTAACTGTGACTTAATCTCTGCTGCCAACATCTCTGTCTCAGCCAACTGTGCTTTTGTGCTTTCTAGATTCTCAGTTCTTCTAACAAGATCGACCACCAGATTTTCCTTCTCTGATTTCAGTTGTTCGAACTCCTCAGACGAGCATTTCCATGACTCAGATGTAGGAACTAAACTACTATCGTGAGAAATTTCACGATCAGAGGCAGAATCTGAATATCCATCTTCCATGTTCTGTTGAACTTTGTTCTCCGGTAAAGCAACCTTGTCTATGCAATCGGCAGAACTAATCTCCATTTCTGAATTTTTATAACCCAAAATGTTGAAGTGTAGTTCGCTCACTTTACTCAACAGAGCTGACAGGTCAAAAACAAATTTCACAAGGCTTACATTTCTGTTTACAACCTCCGAATACATTACACAGAACTCATCCAGCTTTTCAGAGAGTCCATTCCCAGAGGTAGAGGTGGCCTGCAAATTCTTTGTTTCCTTGCTTATGAACATTAAAAACACATGAATATGATTTATAGCATCCGCCAATTCCTGAGATATTGAAACACTGTTTTCTGAAGCTACATCATGAACCTCGACTTCATCTTTTGATGCATGAGGATTCAATGTTTCCGATGTTTCTTCCAAAACAAGTCTAATATCGTCCAAGATCTTTTCCATGTCAGCTTCCTTAGTCACTAACTCAAACACCTTTGAAATTTTTGACTGAAGTGTTGTGAACGGTGTAGCTTCCTCAGAAACTGGTTGGAAATCAGGTTTTGATACCTCCTCCTTGTTACAAGATGACTGGTTTTCTGAGCTTGAAACTCCTCCATTCGTGTCGTTTGAGAGATAAGCTAATTTCTCCATCTCCAAGAAGTCATCCATAAGCTCCAAATGGCTTGCACTATCAGACCTACATGGACTTTCGAGGTTATTATAATTATCCTTCTTGGCATGAGAGAGATCAGGCATAACTGATGTAGCCCAAGATCCAGAACAACTCATTGTATCATCATTGCCATCTTCAGACATGGAGGTCAAGCTCGGAAGGTTATTCTTTGAAGGACTTCTATGATCATCACCATTTGCTTGCAGAAGTGCCTCTAGACTTTGAAGTTTGCTGACAGTCTTTGCACAAGAGCTTCTAGAAGCTTGTAGTTCACTATTACGTTTTGCCAAAGCTTCTTTCAGCAACTTTGTTTCCTCCTCCATTCCCAGCAGTCTCTCCGTTAGATGTTCATTCTCTTTTTGGAACTTCTGGATGTGGTCAAAAGAATAATCAGGCGTGGCAGGATAGTGTGGGCTGTTGGGAGGCTTTCCTGGGGACTTCCTCAGCCTGGTTTCTTCATAATCACGTCCCAAGCTCTCAACCTCAAGCTTCATTTGAGCAAGTGCTGCAGGACCCGGCAACCTCTTCCGTACAAGGCCGCGTAATCTTTGGCACTCTCCTTCAAGCTTAGCTATCTTCTTTACTCCTTCCAGATGTTGCTTATTTGCAACTTCTGCAGACCGTGCACACATGTTTTTCTCCTCATTTCTAATTTCCAACTCTTTGGCGATGACATGGAGTTCATATTTTAGCGAATTTATCTCCTTCTCACAAGATTCAATATCGCTCCTTTGATGTTCTATCTCTGCTTCAGCTCGTGATTTTTCTTCACTGAGCTTAACCAGCATGTTAGAGCGTTCTTGAAGAGATCTTGATAGAGCAGAGTTTTCTGCTGCGGATCTAAGTAACTCTTGCTCCAAGTTAGATATCTTTGCTTCAAGTTCAAGTCTCATCTTATCAAACTGTTTAGTTCTGTTAAGAATCACCTCGTGCAGTTTTTGTTCATGCTCTTCCTTTAGATTCCGTATCTGCCGCATACACTCCTTAAGAGCACCATCCAAGTGTAATGCACGGTCTTCAGCACTGAGCTTTGATAGGGTGACAGATTCCAGGTGGTTTTTAAGTGCTGCAGCTTCTGACTCAGCTTTTTCCCAACCTGCTCAACCGAATGGACTTAGGCAAGTTTATTCAAGAGTTCAATACCCGAGTTGATCCATCAGCCATACACACTATTATTGAACTGGTCCTCAACCTTATTGTTATTAAATTGGTCCTCAACTTCTAATGGGCTCAATTTGGTCCTCAATTGTGAATCTTTGATGCAATTTAATCCTCCATTCTATTCAATTCTAACTATGAGGAGCATTTTCTACATTCACTAAGTTTAGACCACATTTTGGACTCAGTTTGACCATTAAATGTAATTTGATCATGTCCTCAGTGTACGAAAATAATTTTCATAATTAGTGATATAGAAAAGAGGAGTAGATTAAATTTGAGTTGCATAATCTAGGACCAAACTGAGTAATACGATATAATAAAGGGAATGAATCGTGTTTTATTAAACTAGCTTTGTTCAAGGAATCAATGACATGCAGACATATTGCCAAACCTGAGACAGCTTCTTCAGCAACTTTAGCATGTTGTTTCACAAGATTGTCCTTGTTAGTCATTTCATCTTCTGCCGCAGACAATTTTTCATTTAATTCCTTAACCTCCTCCTCAAACATCTTAACATGTTCTTCATAGGATTTCACTTGATCCTCAAGTCCCGTGAGATGTGAATACGACTCCACAGAAATTTGCACATATTTTGGTTTCTTGTAGTTTTCCTGCTTTGTCTGGACATTAACAAAAAAGGAACTTGATGAAACCGAAAAGAGGTCAGTGTGGTCCTATTGAGATCAACCAAAAGCTAATCCAGAAAAACACAGCACACTATACTCAAATACTAAATATTACTCCTTACTATGATACTTCAATAAACTCAAGGGCAAGAAATCTAAAACGAAGCATCATCTCTTAGCTCATTGAAGAGGTGTATTACAGTAAAGGTAAATTTGTTACATGCAAGCTTTTCAAAGGAGAATGTAATAGATACTTAGTGATGAAAAATCTCCCGTGGAAAATTCAAATAAACTAACACAAAGAAGTCATATAAATATACTCTTGAAGTACACAACCATACCTCATTTCCCTGAGAGGCATTTGATAATGTAGTTGTGGTAGGTGACTCAACTGCTGGAGTTAGAATTTTCTCAACTACAGCCTTATCAGATGATTTCTTCTTCCATGGCCAACTCCTCCGATCCATTATAACCTGTCATCCCAGCAAGGCAATACCAAAATTGTTCATTTCAGGTATTCAATAAATCACATGCTTGAACTTGTAATCATACTTAAGAATATCCTAGCTGGAACAAACTTTGAATGCCTTCATAGACACATATACACATACATGGGAGAATATAGTACCCCCCCCCCCCCCCCAATGATCTTCAGTAATTAACTGAATTGTGGTAGGGAACACATGTTTATAAACTCAAATAGAATGATTTGGTGGTAATGTTCCAAGTATGATACAGAGCCATAGATTGCGGCATGATAACTTCCAAAGATCTGAGAGAGAAAATATTAATGTGTCATGCTGGTAATAAATACGAACTTTATGCAGTGAACTTGGATACACTCTTCCTATTTCACCAAGAAAGTCTGTTTGGTGAGAAAAATGACAATTTGACCTGTGACCTAACTAGAATTACTAGTCTTTGTCACAAGTATTAGTCTTTTAGCTGTTTGGGGTAACAAAAACACAAGTTCAAAAGATTATCAACCTAACAAACAAGAAAACAAGAAATCCTGAGAATTCTCAGAAATCTTCTTGATTCAGGGAAGGTGAAAGAGACATATTGAAAATTCAAAAACAAACAATTACATATAATTTGTTGGCAATACATGGGAATTTTTAGGAAATAAGTGGACACTTAGGATACTCAAAGGTAAATAAAGTGAATTTCGTACCACAAAATTACAAAATCAACAAAAATATAATGTCCTACAACTTAAAATTAATCCATCGGTATACTCCGTAATATAATTTCCATTCAAAGGAATTTTTAGAACCAAACATTAACCGACAATGGTCTAATATCTGGATGATACTCCGTACTAATTTACTTTCCAATCTTGCGATTCGAAAAATAGAAAACGAGAATCTAAAACACTTGCATAAGATGCCTCAAAGACATCTTTCAATGAGAGCTCCAGGAAAATACTGCAGACCTCCTCCAACCAAAAAATCCAAAAACCAAAAGAAAAATCCAAAGCTAGATCGCTTAAATCCAATAAATGTAGAACTTCCTACATGATTTACACATTACCCCTTGAGAAACAGAGTCAGAGCTTAATAAATGTGCTCCACGCGACTTTAAGTCGTACACAGAAGCCCGGTAGCGGTTGAATTAAAAGCTCATAAAGTATAAGCTGAGATCAAATAACAATAGTTGAGAAGCACCGACAGAAGAATATAGATTAAGAAATAGACATGCCCCCCGAAAAGGAGAAGAAAATGAGAAATAGATGGAACCGCTAATGGAGGTCTTTGCTTGCGCAACATAAGTAAAGGCAGCACGAAAAAAACATAGACATCACACTAAACGCCACGCACATGAACACGCCCTTAATATCAGCCATATTTAATGCCGCTTACTGACGCCATCACCAAAAAGCCAGCAGAAGTTCCGGAAACGAAACATACCACTGAAATGTGAAATATCAATAATGAAATCAAACTTACCGCTCACAATGCAATGCAGTTCCACTGATAGTGATAGATAAACCCCGCAATAACCACAATATATACAAAAATGGAGATTGAGAGATAACTGACTCCTCCGATGATTTAGATCTAATTAACTTGCGTCAGTCAATCCAGTTCTAGACAGACACAGAGAGTAGCCTGCCGGATACTTCCTCCAGCGGGAGCTTATAGAGAGAGAAAGTGCGGCGGAAGACGGAGGAGGAGCGGTGGTGCGGGAGGAAGAGAAAAGAAATATTCGGCGTTAGGTAGCATTTAAAAAGGCAAGACGTTGGAAAACTCCAAAGCATCTGCTTTCATGATTTGTTCCGGTAATTTTTTTACAGGTATTAATTCATTTATCGGCATAAGGAATTTAATTTTCCAGGAAAAGGAAAAGAGAGGCGCAATTCATAACTGTATATGCCGTGGAAAATGGGAAGTGGAAATCACTTTAAATCCGTAAGAAGGAGGGTGAAATGACGGAAAGAGGGCTGGGAAAGTGGGGAATTAACGACCGCACGCTTGTGGGAGAAGGCTGGGTGAGCTGGACGCGTTAACGTGGACCACACCGTCACTAATAGACAGTCCACTCAGTCCAGCTAATAGTTGGCGCACTTTGTCCACTTTTTTTTATTTTTATCAATACTAAAAATGTACTGTAATTTAATTACTTCCCGTGACCATTTTTTAAGTGCGTGATTTGCAGTTTTGTAGGGTAATTTATAGCATGCTCCGCTCTTTTCTTTCCTTGTACGCTCAAAACGGAACAACACACACCAAGATATGGGTGTCACAAATACTTAGCCTTATCTATATGATTTACAATGTACCTCGGAAAGCTAACAATATGTCCCTCAAGAATGGCACGTGAGCGCGCGTGGTTAGCTATTCTGGGGTAAACCCCTAGAATTCATGTATATCTTTTCGTTAGCTTTCCAACAATGTATTATACGCTTAAATCGGATCATCGGGTCAAAAGTTATGGCTAAAATAATGCGAAGATGCTGAAAACTTTGAATTTTGAGAAAGAAGTTGGAACAATAGCTTTAGAACTCCAACTGATGTTTTTACTTAAACTGTAATTCGTCCCAGACCAGACCAGACTAAAACAAACCAGACCAGACCAGACTTGACCATACCATATTTTATTATTATTATTATTATTATTATTATTAGGGGTGTGCACCGGTTCAAAACTGGACCGTACTGTACCGAACCGAACCGGATATCATTCCGGTTCGATCCGGTTCCGGTTTTTCCAAACCAGTTCGGTCCGGTTTTCCGGTTTAAACCGAATAGTGCACGCCCCTTATTATTATTATTATTATTATTATTATTATTATTATAATTATTATAATTATTATTATTATTATTGATGGAGTATTAACTCCTAGATTCTAGAGAGAAGGGAGAGCTAGAGAGAGAAGTGAATTGTATTAATGAATTTTGTACACCCTTACAACTACTCCCAAGGGGAGTATTTATAGAGAAAATACGTGCTGGGCTCCCAAGTCTTGGGCTTGGGAGGCCCATCTACAACTGGACCGCTATTGGGCCGAATACAAAGCCACTAGTGGGCTATACAAATGAATAAGTGTAAATTCCGGTTCTGTGAGACTTCCGTGGCCGACGAGGGCATGGCCGACGAGGCCATGGCCGATGAGGGCATGGCCGATGAGGGCATGGCCGACGAGGTCACCCAGTTCTCCGAGCTTCTGGATCATATTCTGAGTAGACCTTTTCATGGCCGATGAGGGCATGGCCGATGAGGGCATGGCCGACGAGGTCACCCAGTTCTCCGGGCTTCTGGATCATATTCTGAGTAGACCTTTTCCTGGCCGATGAGGGCATGGCCGATGAGGGCATGGCCGATGAGAGCATGGCCGATGAGAGCATGGCCGATGAGAGCATGGCCGATGAGAGCATGGCCGATGAGAGCATGGCCGACGAGGTCACCCGGTGATCGTGGTACCTTCTGTTCTTCTGAGTATGTGGGTCCTGGGGCCTAGACCCATATACTCCATCAGGAGTCCCCCACTCTCTAAGCTGAGATGTAGACGAAGTGAAGGAGAGTAGACTTATGTGCTTGATGCTCTTGACCGATGCGGGACCACGTTGGCCGTTCCCTGTCGTGGTGTTTGGTGGCCCTATTCTGAGTTTGGCCATTACCCGTTCCTTGATGTGGATGAGGAAGGCTGTTACTCCTTTGGTGCGCTTGTTTGCGGACGATGCGTGTTCTGACATGAGTGGCCGACGAAGGTAGTGTCTACCCTTGGTCGTTGATGGTTTGAACTTCCCTTTTGGGCTGATGAAGCCATTGTGGTTATCTCTTGTTTGAAGACGATGAGTGTCCTTTGTTTCGAGGAAGATGAATGTCCTTCATTTTGAGGACGATGAGTGTCCTTCATTTTGAGGCCGATGAACGTCCTTCATTTTGAGGACGATGAATGTCCTTCATCTTGAGGACGATGAGGGTCCTGGACCAGAGGACGTTGTGCGCCCTTGGATCTGTGGACGAAGGATGTCATGCCCTTGTGTTTTTTACTTTAATTGATGGACCTTACGCTTGCGGACATTTGTGGCGCATTCTTTTTGTTCGTGATATGGATGATGAATGTCATAGTCCCGGAGACGATGCGTGCCATTGGCCTTGAGGACGAGGAGGGTCCTTGGCTTTGAGGGCGACACGTGCCCTGCTTTGCGCTTCGGCCTGGCCGAAGGGTGAACACATGGTTATTGGACGTTGAGGTGCCATTGTCATGGGCTTGTGTTCGTTGGATTTTGAATTTGTTTCTTTACGCTGGAGGCCGATGTAGTCCCCCAGACCTTCTTCTGGCCGATGGAGACATGGCCGACGGAGGTACCACTTGGTAGTCCTTGCTTTTTGTTGGATGATTTCATGTATGTGGAGGCCGATGTAGTCCCCCAGTCCCCCACTCCTCGAGGCTCATGTAGTGAGGTGAAGAGGAGTAGAGCAATACACGTCTTCAATAGGGGGCCGAGGGTCGACACCTTTTTATCCACAATGGGGCAATGCCTCGTTAAAAACCTCATTAGGAAAAACCCTGTGGGAAAAAATCCTAATGAGGGGAAAAGAGCACACCGGATCCCCCAAAATGGACTCCAAGGGGTGAACCCTTCGGCCTAGGTGTGGAGCTGAAGCGGTGTCCGTCTGATGAGGGGACGCCCGCCTGGAGGTGAGGACGACGACGCTGATGAGCCGGTCCGAATATGAGGACGAGGCGATGGATGCCTGTCTGAATGTGAGGACGACAATGGTAATGATCCATGCGTCATATGAAGGCGACGGTCGCTGTCCAGGAAGGGAAATGCGAGCCCGGTCGCTATAACAGTACCTCGGCGTTGGGAGCCGGTCTCGAGATATGAGGACGACGGCACTGGGGGCCCGGTCCGAAATCCATGCAACGGTCGCCATCCGGTAAAGGAATGGCTAAGACCGGTCTTAAGATAGAGCATCACACCATGGCCGAGGGGCTGGTCGTGATGTGAAGACGACGGCGATGAGGAGTCGTTCCTTCAATTCATGCAACGGTCGCCATCCGATAAAGGAATGGCTAAGACCGGTCTTGACATAGATGATCACGCCAAGGCCGAGAGACCAGGCGTGACTTGAGGATGACGGCTATGATGAAGCCGATCCAAGTAAATGATGACGAGGCGTTGGTGAAGCCGTGCGTCATGTAGTGGCGATGGTCACCATCCAGGAAGGGATGGTGAGCCCGATCGCTGGCTCAAAACTCTCGGCGCTGAGGAAGCCGGTCTTGAGATAGATGATCACGCCTTGGCCGAGGGGTCGGGCATGATTTGAGGACGACGGTGCTGATGAAGCCGGTCCAAATAAATGATGATGAAGGCATTTGATGAAGTCGTTCGTCATGTAAACTCAAGGCTCTCGGTGCTGAGGATATCGGCCTTGAGATAGATAATCACGTTGAGGCCGAGGGGCCGTTCATTTTGAGGACGAGGGTCGCCATCCAGGAAGGGAATGGCGAGCCCGCTCGCTGGCCCAAGACGTTCGGCGTTGAGGAGGCCGGTGTTGAGACGAAGGATCACGTTGAGACCGGGGGGTCTGCCGTGATCTGAGGACGACGGCGCTGATGAAGCCGCTCCTCGTATGAAGGTGAGGGTCGCCATTCAGGAAGGGAATGGCGAGCCCGCTCGCTAGTTCAAGACACCCGGCGCTGAGGAGGCCGGTCTTGAGATGAAGGATCACGTTGAGACCGGGGGGTCTGCCGTGATTTGAGGACGACGGTGCCGATGAAGCCGATCCTCATATGAAGGGCCCTCCAGCAAGGGAATGGCGAGCCCGCTCGCTAGCTCAAGACGCTCAGCGCTGAGGAGGCCGGTCTTGAGATGAAGGATCACGTTGAGACCCGGGGGTCTGCCGTGATCTGAGGACGACGGCGCCGATGAAGCCGCTCCTCGTATGAAGGCGAGGGTCGTCATCCAGGAAGGGAATGGCGAGCCCGCTCACAAGCTCAAGACGCTCGGTGCTGAGGAGGCCGGTCTTGAGATGAAGGATCACGTTGAGACCGGGGGGTCTGCCGTGATCTGAGGACGACGGCGCTGATGAAGCCGCTCCTCATATGAAGGCGAGGGTCGTCATCCAGGAAGGGAATGGCGAGCCCGCTCGCAAGCTCAAGACGCTCGGCGCTGAGGAGGCCGGTCTTGAGATGAAGGATCACGTTGAGACCAGGGGGTCTGCCGTGATCTGAGGACGACGGCGCTGATGAAGCCGCTCCTCGTATAGAGGCGAGGGTCGCCGTCCAGGAAGGGAACGGCGAGCCCGCTCGCTGGCTCAAGACGCTCGGCGCTGAGGAGGACGGTCTTGAGATGAAGGATCACGTTGAGACCGGGGGGTCTACCGTGATCTGAGGACGACGGCGCTGATGAGGCCAGTCGTTGGAAGATAAAGAGGACGCCGAAGCCGTACCTATAATGAAGGACGACGTTGAGCACTCGCCTGATCCGCATATATGGTCTTGCTTCGTCCATAATGCATAGTATTTGCCTGATATGTACTTAGCCAAATATGTGGCTTGATTTGTGGGGATTTCAGTTTTATTGCTCGAGGCCGACGAGTGCTCGGTCCTCGGCTTTCCTCTTTTGATTTGTGAGGATTTCGCTCGAGGCCGGCGAGTGCGCGGTCCTCGGCTCTCCCTCGTTTAATTTGTGGGGATTTCGCTCGAGGCCGGCGAGTGCACGGTCCTCGGCTGTCCCTCTTTTATTTCTTCCTCTACTGCTATGAGCGAGGAGTGGGGGTCCTTCTTTCAGGCTCGACCGAGGGGGTTGCTATTCCCTCGGCCGATAGGGAGTCCAGGAGGGCAACTGTCCGACCTCTGGCGCTGGCGCGTCCCTAGACCTTGGGGGGTCCCGTCGTCTATTTATGGCGCG